TAACAACAGAGTACTGTGTTTAGAGTTCTGTGGTTGTAAACAGATTGTATATGTTTTTTCTGAACCCATATGTTCACATTAGTCTAACAATTGTGTTTAAAAATGGAAATTATCTAGAAAATCTACAAAAAATCCACCAATCAGAGAACTGATGAGCAAAGTGCACCAAAAAGACATTTAGCCCCGCCCACTCCCATAAAGAACTGTTAATGGCATAAAGCTCCATTCATATGCACAATTTTTTATTGTTGGTTATTTTTATATGTATTCTGAGAAAGGTTTATACCAGCCTGGTTGATCTCCTATAATGTTTCTTGCTGGTACAGAAATCTTGGACCTAAAAGCAAGTAAAAACTTGCAAAGATTGTTAACATTACTAGTAAGATCATATTGGACCCCCATAAGCAGCTTGTGGAACTATATTAAGCAGACCAAATGGAAAGCCTCGCTGATAGTTCGGGACTCCACTCATCCTCTTTATTATGAATTTGAAAACCTTCCTTCTGGTAGACGATGCAGAGAACCCACAGCAAAAACAAATATTTTTAAGAAATCTTTTATACCGTCTTCTATTACTAAACTGAAAAAATGGCCATGAAGTAGCTTGTATGTTATGTTGTGGTTTTATAGTCAGGGTTGTGTGTTGGTAACCTGAGATATAGGAAGCTTTGTGTTTGTGCTCTGCGATTGTGTTTTTGCATTTGTGATGTTTGGGAGGCCAAAAAACGAATTTCCAAACGTGGACTTTAAAGATTTCTAATTCTCATTATGACTATTTGACTGTCAAATCATGTGATGTAGTCTGGCATATTTGTTTATGTAGACTACATGTTGCTTTCAATCTATCATCGCCTGATGTCCACGACACACATTGTCATAAAAAAAACTACATAAATTAAAGAAGTCTCTGTAATTGTGTAATGAATGTTTTCCCACAGACGGAAGTTTCCTGTCTGTGTGTGCTTTCTGAACAAAAACAATAGAAAAATAGATTCATTCTCTTTGGAGCTGCAGGAGCAGTTTCAAAGCAACGGTTATAAACAAAGCAATCAACGGCCAGTTGCCTTCAAAAAATTATATGGTGGCTGAGAGAACTTAACATACAGTAACTTAACAACACATGCGATTACAAAAAAAAAAAAAAACACCAGTAAATTAAGATAAAAATCTTCATCAGTTTGACAGCATATGTGTGGCAAATCCTCACAATGCAAAACAAAGAAAATGCGCTGCAATTTCTCACAACGCACACAAATAGCATGAATTTAAAAAGAGGGTTGCTAACAAGTTGCTAAACGGCACTACAGGCAGTGTCGAAGACATTATATGTCATCAAGCTGAACTGGTCTGGAAAGCAGCCCGCCGCTTGTGTAGGACATTTGGATTTGTCTGTTATTTAGGTATTTTCATAAATTGTATTTGACAGCTTGTAATATTTTTCTAATTGGGAATTCATATTGTGTGTGGATAATGTCTTCACTTATAGAGACCGTCAAAACAGATTAGTTTGTTGATTATTTATTTTAATTAAACAATTTTATGAAGATACTGCTAACCAGTGCAGCCTGTATCTTTCCTGCTCTCAGTAATGCAAACGTGAAAATACATTTGTTAAAATACTTGAATATTAACTCATTTTAACGTGATCAATTGATTTTTCATCGTTTTTTTCTTCTTTATCTGAACACATTTAATTTTGTGGCATAACTGCAATAGTTACACTCCTCCTTAAATGTACTTGGTGACAAAAAAAAAAAAAAAGAATGTTGTTCTCTATCCATTTTGGGACTCGCAAGCTTTTGATAGACCTAACCCTCAGGCCTCATCACTAAGGTAAGCGGGCTGTATGCACGCACAAGATACACTTATTTAAATATTGTCACCTTTGAATTATAAGGCTCTATCGAATGACTTTGAGATATTAAGCTTTAAAGATTTTGTATTCCATATAGCAAACAGTATGTGTGTAACAAATTTTTTTTAAATAAAAAGTAATGTAAATAAGTTATTTAATAAGAATATGTCAATAACTCAATTCTGACAAAAATGTCAGATAGAACCTTATAATTGTACTGTGACAAAATGTCTAATGATAATACTATGTAGGCACATTTCTAAAACATACAGTATGCGTTTCAAAACTTTTACAAAAACTGTAAAGCAAAACAAATGTATTGCCAACAGGAAAACTAATTCTAAAAGGCACGTAAGTCTATATCCACAGATCTGTTTTTTTTGTGTAGTTGTTTGTAATATAAAAGCATGGATCATAATATAATTAACCGAGAAAGTAAATTTTTGTCATGGACCATATTTCTAAAAATAATCTTGCAAAGTTGTTGGAAGCAGGGTAACAAGCACTGTTAATAGCCTAATGTTAGCTTTTCAAATCTTGAGTTTGCATATAAGATCCAAAAGTGATAAAAGTTACATTATCGTGTGAGAATTATCTGGCTGGACAAAACGTGCAAGTGTAATGAACTGTGTTTGATCCCAGAGCTTAGTATTTGCAATCTTCAAAATGCCTATGAGAAAACCCTATGGGGATTTTATGCTAGCAGCTGATTGGCCTACAAGGGGACTTCATAGTTCCTTCACTCTATAGTCACGGCACAATAAGCAAATCCCAGCTGGGTCAGTCCATTTTTTGGGTCCCCTTGAACCATTTCCATTGAGTTCTGTGCCATTTACATGGGGTGTGAGAAATTGCAGCACGGTTTCTTGATTTGCTTGCCTTGTGAGAATTCTCATCGTGTTTTTAAAATTTTTTTATTTGTTGTCGTTGAGAGGATTTACAACGTATATGGTGTCAAATGGATGAAGATCTTTTCTTAATTTGCTGGTGTTCTTTGTAATTCAATGTGTTTTCTTAAACTGCTGCATGTTAAGCTCTCTCTGGCACTGACAAATTACCCACACCGCATTTTGAATGAGAACAGGAGTAATTTCTGCCTTGGCTATCGATTACCAACATTTATCTTTTTTTTTTTATCTTTTAAAAATGCAGCAGCACAAAAAAGCTGTATGTTAGTGTACCTGGACAGTTACAACACACTGTTGTCAGGAAATTTGAGAGAAGCTGTGATGTTGTTTATCATCACTATTTACAGTTTAAGCACTTTTTTCTGTTAAATTTGACATGAACTGCTAGAACGCCGATAAAGGTGTTTACATACAAAGGAAAATTGTGGTGTTGGGCCAAAAACTACCCGTTATGATTGAATTATGTTTCTGCTGTTTTTTTACCTTAGAAATCCAGGTAATGTGTTAACATGACATTACTTACAAACTTATGAAACATTATGAAGCTCTGGAATGTGCATGTAAACAAACTAACTAGGCAACTTTAGTGCTGACACCTTATGGAGAAGCAAAGTAGTGCAAAAACAAAAGTACATAAAAGTCCTATACTGATCAATTTTGCTTCACACAATGTGCGTGGACCCTAGCATACATAAAAAGCAAAGTACACTTTGGGCTCAACGGTCACAACACTACTCACTATGTCTTTCTAAGGCAACTTTGTCAAGTTTCACATGATGCAGCATAACATTTTTTCCTACTTGAGGCACTAAATTATCATCCAAAGTACTGTCTAAAATGTATACAACAACATAGTGGTAAAACCCCTCTAAAATATTAATTCGAAGTCTAAACTGTACCATTTTAATTGTGAAAAAAACAGTCCTACATTCAGTCATGCCATCTGTGGGCTAAACAGACACATCGACTGTAAAGGCAACATCAACAAAAAAGACAATCATGATTTAGATGTTCCTTATTTTACACAAAATGTTCCAAAGGCTGAAGACAAAATGAAACTCTTATTTCAGGATTTCTGCAGGGTTTTAAAAAGTACAACATTTCAAAATAATAATTTTAAGCCTTAAATGGGTAGTTTACAAAAATATATTTAATTCTGTCATCATTTTCTCATTTATTTTCCCTACTTTGGAAGTCAATGGTTACTGTTTCCAGCTTTCTTCAGAACATCATCTTTTGTGTTCAACAGAAGAAAGACTCAAACTTCAAATATACGCACGCACGCACACACACACACAAATAATACATTAACACATATTATGGACTCACGACAAGGGATGCGTTTCTTCTGTACACAAATTAGTGTCATAGGCCCTTTGAAAATCAGTACATTCTTAAGTTTGCGGATGACATCATTATTGTAAGTTTGATGGTTGATGAGGAGGCAGAACATGGACCTGTTGTTGAGTATTTTACAAATTGGTGTTGAGAGGCTGGTCTCTATCTGAACACAGAAAACGAAAGAGATGTGCATTGACCTGCGGCAGAAGCAGGATGTAGTTTTAAGTACTATGGTTGATAACCACCAAATTGAATTAGTGGAAAGTAATAAGCACCTAGGTACTATGGACCTTTTTCATAAGCCTCATAAGACTTTAAAGTTTTTAATATTTTTATTCTTTTTAAAACTTATGAACATTTCTGTGTTTATGTAAGTAGTATATCATCATTTTTTGCCATTCGAATCAAAGAATTAACGTGTCTATGGGAAAGTACAGCAAATTTGACATTATTTTCTCCTCTGGCTGCCGTCATCAGTCTCACTCGATTATTTTCCTTTTTCTGATAGCCTTTATAACATCATCATATCATTTTTCTTATATTATAACAAAAAAAACAATTGTGAAAAATTATTTGTTGTATTTTCCCATTTACTGTGCTCCAAGTTTTCTTTGATGGTGGCATTTTATAATTTTCATTGATTTGTTGGTTTGCTATCTTAAAAGTAAAACAGAGGAACTTGCTGTCTGAGGTTTTAAAAACCTGCAGCAAAGTATCAGGGATAAAAGTGCCTGGGTTGTCCTATTTGTATGAAAGGCCATCAGATTACATCTGATATATTTCATTCTCTTTTTGTTTCATTTTAAATACTTCCCTCAGGATCTTTGGCAAAGATTTAAATTTTCATTTATTCCTTTTGCAATTGGTTTGCTGAATTTTAATGGGAAGAGGTAGTTTTTTTTTTTTTTTGTACTACTAATGTTGTTTAATGTTTGTCTTAAGTGTGTGGTGTGATATATGTGTTGTAAATCTAGTATGCTGCAGAAAAAAATTCTCCTAAAAGGTGACAATAAAGTTTACAGTAACAGTATGACAAGAAAACAAAATCAATATTTGTGATTTAGGTCTTTGAAATAAAAAAAAAAATGAAATGACATTCATCATGTTTCTGAATTAGTCCTAAAGTCTTTTTTATGAAACCTGCAGAAACCCTGTATTTTCTCCTCTACGATTTGCTTCCATCTTGTGGCCATATTTGGCATTTAATAAACTAAGACACTTAATGAATGATGTAAAAAACAAATGATATGAAAAAAAACTAACACCAGAAAGGGGCTTCTTATCAAACAGCATGGGGGATTAAAAACCTTTTTAAAATTGAACACTTTGGAAAACATCCCCTCTTCATATATTGCGTTCTCACTTATGGTCAAAGATTTACCTGAAATATTCAGTTGTTCCAGACTTTTTCACAGCATTTCCTTCCTTTGTGTGTGTGTAAGGTCCAGTGTTTAAAGAATTCATGTAGGAGGTTTGCATGGTCCCGTGTGCAGCCGCAGCGCCCCCTGTCTGTGAAGAGCACTTAAGGTCCTAAACTCCAGAGGCATTGTGTGTGGACTGGCACTAGATGTGTAGTGGTACGTTAGTGTATCATAGTAGTGATACTTGACTGGTTTGCCGTCAGGGTCGTGAGCGAAGGGCCAGAAGCCATACAGGTGGATCTCATCACAAAAGCGAGTAGCCATGGTGTACATCAGCAGTCCAGTGGTGGGACGTTTGATCTGGACATGGTTGGTCAGCCAGTAACTGTTAAAAACAACAACAACAACAGGATAATAAAATAAGAATAAATATATACAATAAATAAACTTTATTAGGATTAACTATACACTCATCATCATTTATTATACAAAAGTGGGTATAATTTTCTTTAATCTACATGTGTTTTTGTAATATAACATTCAGAAAACACAAAAGGTTGTGCAAGCTTTGTTCAAAAGGTTGAGATCAGTAATATTTCAGCTCTTAAACTCAAGGAGGCTACATTTATATGGTAAAAAACATAAGACTAGTAAAATTATGAAATATTACAATACAAAGCAACTACTTTCTATTTTAGTGAAGTTTTTAAAGTTATGTCCAGAGGAGCACATGATCGCGGGTGTTCTCTTATCCATAATCAGTAATAATCCAATCAGATTGATCCAAGCCTACTATAAATAGACCGCTTTCACCCTACTGCCTTGTCTTCGTTTTGGAAAAATACCCCCTTCCACCCCATCTACTCCTTTTCCTTTTGTTCTAAGGGGAGCTCTCAAGACCTACCTGATCTCAGACCCCCTTACCTGCTAAAAGACCTGGCAGGGGCCCTGAGTTCATTTATCTGCAAGCTCAGGGTTCTCTACCAGGGCAACATGCCAAACCTGCTAATAGAGTCCAGCAATATCTGTGTGAACTCTTCCAATGTCATTTATACATGTGATACAAAGATTTTTTAAACCCTCATTACTTCAGTGTCATATGATCCTTCAGAAATCATTCTAACATACTAGATTAATTGTCAAATGTTAAAATGTTGTTAAATTTATATGATCCAGATGTTTTAATGAGCTCAAAGTAAGAACGTTCATTTGAAATAGAAATCTGAAATTTTGCTGAAAATGATCATTTTAAAGGTTTTAAACAGCTTTTTAATTTCTGAATAAAAACCTATTTTGAGTTTTTAAAAGAAACCAAAACACATTTTTTCAGCTTTTCTATAATCTGAAAATAAAAAGGAATAATCTGAAATTTGAAGCTCACTTTTTTGTGATCTTAACCATTGCAAAAAAGCATCAAGTTCTTTTATGACGTATTTATCCCTTTTACAAGATGTAAGATAAGCTTTTCAGCTCAAAATACCCATCAGGTTATTTATTATAACCTCCAGAATCTGCCCATTTTGGTGTCTGAATACATTGTAGCGGTTTCTGTAGCCTGTGGCTTTAAATCTAAATGAACTGGTTCTCCCTGCCCACAGTTCCTCCGTGCATGTCTGCTTCTCATCATCAGCTAGATCAGATAAACAGCACAGTGACAGACTCGGATGAAGCTGAAATACGGCTCAGTCAAAAATACCAAGTAAGTTTATTTGATGTATTTGTGGTGGAGTCTATTTAAGCATTTCTGAAATGATGAGTCTCAAACAAATGTTGTTTGCAGTATAAACACACACACTCACAAATTAGAGTTTACTGACACTATGCAGCCGTGGTAATTTTAACGGTTAGGAATTACATAGCGATTTTACTGTCTTATAAAAATCACAGTTGTAACAAATATTTTAATCCAGTTTATTTGCTAAAATAAATGTACTAAGGACATGTGAATACATGTCATTATAAAAAACATGGTACCTGTCAATCAATTTGGTGGGCGAAAAAAAATAAATAAATAAAAAAAAAAAAACGTATTCCTACATCACAATGCGGTGTACCTCAAAATCACTGGGATTTGGGTCCTATTTTAACATCAAGAAATAAAAAAAAAAATAAATAAAAACAAAAGAGAGACTTGTTGTGTGTTTATCACTCCAATATGACAATGGGCACACTATACCTACACACAATTGTGTCCAAACAGCTTACAAAAGTTGATTTTCATCATAGGTGCCCTTTTAAGTGGGCACAAAGTCAGTTAATTCAGGATGATGGTGAAAATACTTAGTATTTGTATAAAACCTGTCATTCTACATTTTCTTTATTTAATTCAAAACTATTCTTTTTTTACCGTCACTACTAATTAAATCAGACTATTTTAAAAACAAATTAATAGCTTAGTTTACCTCAAACTTTTAAAAAGGTAGCACATAGTGTCAGTCAAAATGTAAAAAGGATTATAAAATCCCAAGTGTGTTAACAGCTAAGGTTACTAAAAAAAGGAGCTCAAAAAATAAAAAGCTCAGCTTCTTATGCTAAATCCCCCTTTTTAAAATATTCTCATGCAAAACTCACCCACATCCAGCCCTGACAGCTGTGCAGCTCTTCCACGTTTAAAAAGGAGGAGATCAGACAATTGAACAATGTCCATTAGGATGCACTGAACCCTCTCCAGTCCACTCGCCCCTCAATACCCTCCACAATAGACCTCTCTCTGAGCCTCTGCGAGGTGTCATTCATTCATTCAGGACGGCTCATGCAAAAAGCTCTGGAGGAAAGGAGTTTCAGATAACAAAGAGCATCCAACATCCCCGTCTTAAAGCTGCCTCTATAGACTTTGTAAACTGAGGTTGAGTGTGAAGTTCTTTATTCTCATTCACTGTTAATAAAAACTTTGGGTCAATAAAATCTGTATTTATTTTTTAAAGAGTCTTCTTATGCTTACAAAGACTGCAATTCTTCCTTGAAAATTATAGTAAAACGGTAATATTCTGAAAATACAATTTATCTTTGAGTATTTTAAAATGTAATGTATGGTGGTAATGTTGAGCTTTAAAAATTGTTTGCTTAATAAAAATGTATTATTAGTATCACTGTTAAAAACACTTTGAAAATAGTATATATAGCTCAAAAATAATAGTATACAAAATATCTTTAAATTAGCATTTTTACATATTTTGCGATTCATGTTTTTATTCTTCCACATTTTTTTTTGTTTTTGAACTGCACTATGGGACATTGATCTTTCTACCAACAACTTTTAACCTAGAAAGGTTTAAAAAAAACCTTAACACTATTCAAAATGTTCATAAAAGTGATATATTGTCTGGATTAGTGTTGTGCTGTATATTACAATACAAAAATCTTGCATTAAACTACCGGTAATTTTCGATTATTTTACAGACTTATTTATATATTTTTAATCCATTATATTCTTTGAAACTACTAAAATGTCAATACAAATCACTTTGTCGACTTTTGATGTTGAAAATCTCCACAGTTTAACAGAGCAGAGATCAACTTCCCATAATGCAAATCACAACCGTAAATAAACGGAAAACACTTTGGAAACTGTTAATTAAAAACAATTAAGTGCATAATTAACCATTGTGCAAAAACAAAAACTATAATAAAAAGAGAATAAATAATAATAATAAAAAAGCAATGACAAAAAGGAGCTTACATCAAAAACATAATCAGAAAACTCAACTGGTGAAAAAGTTTACACAAAAATGGCCTACTCACCATCAAGTGGTTCTAACCCAAACACAAAAGATATTCTGAAGAATGGAACAAATTAACTGCTGAGATCTAAAGTAGGGGGAGAAATACTATAGAAGTCAACAGCTACCAGTATCTAACATTCTTCAAAATATCATCTTTGGTGTTCAACATGGGAATAAAGCTAAAACTGGTAATGGAGGGTGTGTATATGATGACAGCATATTGATTTTGGGGTGGACCGTCCCTTTTAATGTCAACAGACAGTTGTAAGTCAGAGTAATGTAGGCTTTTAACTTATAACTTATATCCAATCTCTGTGTAGATTGATATTGAGGATAGTGTGGGACTATTCCACACTTTTAGATCAACATCAGAAGAAAAGTCATTCCTTTGATTTCCATCTACATCTCTGAACCATCAGAAATCTATGTTGATAAGCTTAGTGTTCTAGCAGAGTAAGCCTTAGATAATAATCGAAATTGGAATCTTAATGAAATGCATTAAAGTGGTAATAATTTGTACATTAATTAATAAACGACACTTAGTTTTTAAAGAGTTTATAGGTGGAATAAATCTCTCAGGTTCCCACCAAAAGTGCCTGAAGCACCTGAGGGCCAAAACACAACCTCTGTATTGTTTTGAGATCAATGGTTCTGAAAATTCAGTTTAGCTGCCCCACAATTTAAAATACAAAAAATATTAAAACACTAAACAGTTATTTTAAATTGAATGAATAAATAAATAAATAATAATACTGTACTTAGATTAAATAACTAAAGCTTAAAAAAAAAAACGACCTTTCTAAAATCGGATTATCTGATTTAGATTATTTGATCTAATTGCAATTTCTTTTAGACAACCAATACTTGCTCTGAGTAAATCTGAAATGCAAGCATAAATTTACTTGCAAAAAGCTTAAAAACTGCTCCATATTTATTTGCTCATGTTGTGCCAAAAATTCAACACAGACTCATTGGAAATGCATGCTTCAGCCTAGATTTTTGTGCAACTGCAAAAACAGGGGCAAATTATTTTGCTAATTAATATTTATTTTCATGCAGTTCTTTGCACAGCAGGTCAGTTTGCTTGGTAGCTCACTTTTTTACAGTTGTACTTGAAGAGATAAAAGCACTGTAAAATAAAGATAAGCACTTGGTTGCAGACCTTTTCTCTTATGTTTGCTTTTAAAAACACTATTGGTTGAGATTAGGCCCATGTTTTGCTAGGTGATCTGTATGACAAGCTCCACCTTCTCATGGTTGTGTCCAGGAAGGACATGAATCTGAAATGTACAACAGATTGTACACCAAGTAACATTTCAGATTTGCAAAAAATGAAAACAGCCCCTTCTAATTGTTTTTTATTTTATTTTTATTTTTATCTGAAATGTATCCGGAACAATGTATTGTATTTGTATATTTAATTTTCCTCCAATGTGTTTTTTTTTTTTTTTTTTTTTTTTTACACAAAAGATACTTTGAAAACTGTTAGAAATTAGTAACCACTGATACTAGAAAACCTAATACTATGGAAATTCTTGGACCATAGTACCATAAAGAAAAATTGAATACTATGGAAGTCAATGGTTAAACGTTTCCAACACTTTTCAAAATGTTCTCTTGTGTTCAACAGAAGAAAAAACTTTAACGAGATTGTGATTAGTGAGGGTAAATTAAAAGGTCTGAACTATCCCTTTAAAGTTACCAATACAAGTTTCATTTAAAAAAAAGTTGAAAAAGCTTTATGCAGCCACTAAAATTGGAATACTGAATGTAGAATAAAAACAAAACAAAACATTAAGACAGACTTGATTTATTTTTTTGGATGTACTACTCTTAAATATACGCTAGTTCTTTTTATCATCCTTTATCAACAACTCCACCATACTGTAATAGCATTTTCTCTTCAGTACACCCTCAGCCACTAAACCTCCCCTCTTACTTGACCTCTAATCTCATCTCGGCAGCTCATATTACTCAGATGGATCCAAGAAAAACCATCCTCATGCTGGTGCATTGTAAGAATGACAGCTCCAGACACTCAGCTCAGAGGGAGGCCTGAATGGCCGTCTTGAAATATGCAGAGGTCAATAGAAGAGCCAAAAGGTTGTGCTATTTAAAGAACCCGAACACAATTTAACCCAGAGGGTCTTCTATTCTGCTAACAATCCAACAAAAGACTTCTGTATGAATACAGATATGGGTTGTTGACATGAGGTTGCATTTTCCCTGCCACACATGACAAGAATGAACATAAAATTACTTTTTTTTTTTTTAGTCAAATGTCAAAACTGTCCTATGGTGTGACTTTTCTCAAAAATAGGTTAAATAAATTATTTATCATATAAATAACTCATATAAATTAAAAAGCAAATTGTATAATCGTTAAATTAATACTTCATTTTGCAAGTGGCTATTTTTAGCAAATGGCAATCATGTCCTCTGATGTGAGAATATTCTTTTTTTTATTTATTTATTTTATAAAAATCGGGCAATTCCACTGAAAACTTTAATTAGTTGAAAGACCCCATTCAAGATTCATGCGTCTAAATTCTCCGGTTTAGGCCTATATTTGTGCTACATTTGCGTTATTGTACTACGAATGAGTTACATTTTTGTTTGAATTAGTCACATATTTTAGTTTTTTGAACTACTAAATGTTGCTGTCCATTGGTGCAACATCCCCATTTATTGAAAATGTACAACTAGTCGAAGTCGTCGAGAAAAAAAAATATTAATCATAATTGCATATAAAATATATACTACTATATAAAGAATAGTGTACAACAATGTAGATAAAAAAATAAATAAATAAATAAAAAATAAACAAAAATCGCTCTCACACCTTATTATTAAAGGTACAGTAGGTGATCTGCCAAAATGCTATCTGTTAGCATATCTTTGAAAACACAGTCCCTGTCTTCCAAAGCCACACCTCTTAAAATCACGAACATGCATATTAAAAGATCATTCACCAGTTAGAAAACTTTATACTACAATTCTTAACTAAAAACTATTATATTTAGTACGTTTTCAGTTGTGTAGCAAGCAAAACTCGTCATAATGTGCAATATTTCATGCATGCAAGGATCGCTGATCTCACCCTCTCATGCACTTTGTCCTGAAGCAACTACTATCTGCTTAGCAGTTAGCCGGAAGCGTGCAGGAAATTCACTTAGTTTTAAGCCATACTTGCTTGCTATTTCCAACCAAATATTTAAAGTAGAATGGTAAACAACTCTCTCAAAGGTGGATCTGCATGAACAAGGTGCGCAGATGTACAAATCTACATTTGTTCACAGTAGGGTTGGGCGATGCTGACCAATTTGGCATTGTATGATGTCTAATGTCAAACATCACAATGGACGATGGCATCGTTGTTGTAGGTGCCGGTGAATTATTTATGAATAATTCATTTATAATTAATTAACTATTTGCAGTCTACCATTTTAACTATCAGACCCGCATTTTCTTTGTTTTACCCATAAGAAAATCATAAATAAATAAAGATAAATTACACAAAATTACGGCTTATCAATCACTTTTTCCGCGGGACTCTGGCTTGAACAGGCAAAGTGATCTGTGTCGTTATAATGTGTGGGCAGACTTAGTTAGTAAAAAATTGCACAACCAACAGCAACCAACCAACAGTATCTGAGATTTTTGCTAAATTTACTAAGTGCAAGCGTGAAAGCAAGAGATTGAAGCAGTGTACCGACGCTGTAACATGTTACCTGTTAGATTCAAAAGACCGAAGAGTCGTTAGAGATAAGATTAATTAAATATCACGTTTAACAACTATAGTGAGACATGATCTAGCGGTACATCCTTGATAAACTGTCTGACATGCACTGCATTATGTATTTGTGCTCAAGTCACCAGCTAACTGCTGGAGCCCAGACACGCACGTATGCTGCAGCAAATGACAAAGAGTGTTTGTGTGTGTGGTCACGTGACATGCATTTTGAGTGGTATAGTGTGGAAGGAGGCCTTTTAAGAAATGCTAGATGAGCATCAGCGTAGAATGGAGATTGTCATTTTAAACAAAAACATGTTCATGTAAACAGGGCCTAAGGGGGTATTTTTTGTGAGTGGTTAATGCAGCGACAGGGCGAAGGATCGCGATGCCGGCTCATCATCGTGATGTCTATTGGCCATTGGCGATAGATGATGGCATAGTCTATCGACCCAACCCTAGTTGGCAGACAGTTTGGGCTACTTATAAGAATTATGGGAATTATTGGCCCAACAAATTTTAATTGGACAAATATTTTTTGTCTTATGCCTAAGCCCAAATATAAAAAGACAAATAAATACATTTATATCATTTACTTTAATCATTACTATTGGAATGTGAACCAGCACAACAAAAAAAGTTTCTGAAGAGAATCACTTACTGCACCTTTAAAGTGTTTTTCATAATTTTTGCCATCACAGCATAGAATGTATTTAAGGATGCTTTCACACTTGTTTCAATTGCCTGGACTGAACCCAGGTTCAATTGTCCCCCCTTGCCACCTTCTTGGCTGGTTTATGTTCACACAGCCTTTTTTCACAACCCCGGTAAGCTTGCATCATCAAGCTGCTGTTTTGTGTACAGCTGTTGCTAGGTGATGGCCACAAAAGCAAAGTGGCAAAATAGTGAAAATTATATACAGCAGTTATATCTTATATCAGTTATGCTGCAAAAAAAAAAAAAAAATTAGACCATTAAGAACATCACGTGATGTCCGAAGAAGTCGTTTTTAGTGGATACATGCAGACCAAGGTAGGTGATACACAGGTGATGCACGAACCGTACCCCACACCACTTCTTTCAGGTAAACTCTAGCTATACTAGCTAAATGTCTGACCTGAACCTGGGTGCGGACCAAAAGCACTAGTGTAAAAGCACCCTGAGGTACAGTTTAAAAAAAAAAAAAAAAAAAAAAAAAAAGTTAGTGCCCCCTTATATATTTTTTCAAACTTTAGACAGCATAAATGTATCTATTTTTTCTTTAAAAATGGTGTTTTACAAAAAGCTTTTTTCACAGTCTATTTGTCAACTACCCATGTATAGATGTCAGTGTGCACCTTGATCCATTTACAAGCACAGCTCCATGCTGTGGGCCAGGACGTGAATGCATTGATGCCTGAACTATAAATAGCGAGAGGCTAGCTTCACCTGCTTGAGCGAGGACATGGGTATTGAGTATTCTTAAATGCATGTGCACGTACCCTCTGACAGCATGGAGCAGACGCAGAGAGGGGAAGGCGGTGCGGACGTTCACCGTATGCAGGAGAATGAGACGAATGGCCCACTCCACTCGCTCCTCTCCTCCTTTAGCCATGAAGGCAGGAATCCACAACACACTCCCACTAAGGCTTTGCAGCCGCTGGACGAAACGCTGCACCCACTCCTCGCTGTTCAGGTCCTGAAAGGCACGCTGCACCACTGAGGGGTTCATAGTCACCAGGCTGGTGCGCAGGCCCACGTCAGCAGCATACTCCTCCACCGGAGCCAAGTTACACCTTGGAAAAAAGAACACATATAATTATTAGCAGAACTCCAGACTAATAAGTGACCCTAAACCACAAAAGCAGTTGTAAGTGTCAGGTTTTTGAAATAGAGGATTTATACATCGCCTGAAAGCTGAATAAACAACTACTATTTAAAAAGCTGAAATCTGAGGGTTCATAGAAAATCTAAATGCTGAGGTAGAAAAAAAAAAAAATAAAAACGCTGAATGCAGCACTTAGGAATGCACTAATTACATAATAAATTGATTTACATTTACTAAATATATATTATAGACAATGAGCTTCACGCAATATTCTAAGATTATTAATGTTGACCCATACAATGCCACAAATATCTCCACGCAACTTAAGACTGGTTTGTGTTCCAGGATCACATTTATGAAACCAGTGGCATCAATGCAACAAAGGTCTACTGATGGTGGCATCAACCCCTGATTCAATATGCTGCGTATGTAGTAATAATAATAATAATAAAGATTTTATAAAATTTGTCACATTTAATAAAGTACTGTAGCTTGAGTTGACCTGTGAGAGTGGCAGGAGTGCGAGTTGGGATTCATATGTATACCAGTCAACAATTTAGAAAAGGAAAGGTTTGTTATTGTTTTAAAAGAAGAAAAATCTGCTCACCAAGGCAGCATTTATTTAGATGAAAATACAGTAAAAATGGTTACATTTTGAAATATTATTACAATTGTAAAGTTCATACTGAATGTAGTTTAAAATTTAATTTAGTCCTGTGAATCAAAGCTTAATTTTTATCACCATTCCGCTAGTTTTAAGTCTCACATGATTTTATATACAGTGGGGTAAATAAGTATTCAATGTGTCATCATTTTTCTCAGAAAACATTTCTAAATGTTCTGTTGACCTAAGATTTTCCAGATGTTGTTTATTTATTTGTTATAATGCCATGTCAGCAGCATTGTCTACATTCATGGCAAAACCTATATTAATATTCAATATATAACATACAATCATATCAGTTTCATAACAAGCATTCATTGTACAAAACAACAACAACATACAAATGGCAACAACACTGGAAAAAGTCATATATAATCTTTTAGTTTGATCAATGACCACCAGATCTTGATATAAAACCGAAGAAACGCATGTATTAAAAGAAAGCAAATCTAATTAATGTACAAATAAAGTTGTGTAATAAAATGAAATGACACAGGTAAAAAGTATTAAACCCATGAAGGGAGGTGTAAAAAGACAGTAAAAGCCCAGACAGCAGGGGGGTGTTGACTATTTGACTAAGTTTAGGGTGATGGCAGCTTAAAGATGACTCTCATATGAGAATGAAGTCACATGAACTGCTCCAGTGTGATTTCTGAATTAAACAGTGTGTAAAAATGTTGATGGTTCTGTGGCTTTTGTCTATCCAAACTCATCTTAATTTTGTATTTTCTATTGTATTTAAGTCAGGTGATTGGCTGGGTTTCTACAGCGTGGTTTTCTTTTTCTGAAAGAATTTAAGCGTTTCCTTGGCTGTGTTTTGGATCACAGTCTTGCTAAATTGTCCGCCCTAGTTTCATCTTTATCATCCCTTTATCGTAATGTAGATATTGGACTGAAGCAGCTAATATTTATTCACAATGATGAAGGACAGAGGGTTGCTGAATAACTGTGGAGAGATTTCAGCTGCTGTCTTTCACTGTCTTTCTACACCTCACTTTCTTCATGTGTTTAATATTTTTTCCCTGTGCCATTTCATTTTCATTCATTCATTCATTTTCTTGTCGGCTTAGTCCCTTTATTAATCCGGGGTTGCCACAGCGGAATGAACCGCCAACTTACCCAGCAAGTTTTTAAGCAGCGGATCCCCTTCCAGCCGCAACCCATCTCTGTAAAACATCCACACACACATTCATACACTACGGACAATTTAGCCTACCCAATTCACCTGTACCGCATGTCTTTGGACTATGGGGGAAACCGGAGCACCCGGAGGAAACCCACGCGAAGGCAGGGAGAACATGCAAACTCCACACAGAAACGCCAGCTGAGCCGAGGTTCGAACCAGCGACTTTCTTGCTGTGAGGCGACAGCACTACCTAATGCGCCACTGCCTTGCCCCATTTCATTTTCATTCATTCATTCATTTTCTTGTCGGCTTAGTCCCTTTATTAATCCGGGGTCACCACAGCGGAATGAACCACCAACTTATCCAGCAAGGTTTTTTACGCAGCGGATGCCCTTCCAGCCGCAACCCATCTCTGGGAAACATCCACACACAATCACACTCACACTCATACACTACGGTCAATTTAGCCTACCCAATTCACCTGTACTGCAGGTCTGTAAGGGAAAACCGGAGCACCCGGAGGAAACCCACTCGAAGGCAGGGAGAACATGCAAACTCCTCACAGAAACGCCAACTGAGCCGAGGTTCGAACCAGCGACCTTCTTGCTGTGAGGCGACAGCACTACCTACTGCACCACTACACCACTTTTCATGTATGGGTTTCTTTGGCTGCTATCAATAACTGGTGAAAATTTCAAGCCAACAGCACTTTTAGAAGTAGGTTTTCTGAGAAAAATGACGTGACCAGTACTTGTTTCCCCTACTGTATATTCATTATCTTCATTATCTATATTCACTATCTATTGAACATAAAAAAATTAAGTTATACCTGAAAAAAAACCCACTGTGATGATTCAGCTCATTTTAAATTAGTTGGAACAAGCAGAAAATGTTTTTCGAGTGCATTACGATCAGTTATTATCAGTAGAAAAATCACTAGGATTTTTTCAATTATTAGTGCTGAATTATTTTTGTCTTTCTTCATATTATCATGGAAACTTTGATACATTTTGCTGTTAGTATTTTTGGATAAAAGCTTGCACTTGAATTTTTTCTTTTTTACATCACTAATACATTTATTTAAAATGAAAATGGAAAATGTGCCATCTTTTCAGACAAGTTTATACTTTTCTGACAACACAATACCAATGTCTGATATAAATATTTGCTGGAATAACCCAGATGTTTCATTATTCTGACCGACTGGGAAAGCCATCTTGCCTCCTATTTGGTTGGATTTGTTTGTGCTTATAATGCCTAAGCAAAGGAAAAATAATATGCTTAACACATTTCCCTCAGTGGAGTACTACAGTAGATGGTCTGCACTCAAAATGTAGAGAAATTTGTAAAACAAACAAAAAATAAACAAATCAAACAAATAAAAAAAGAACTAATAAAGAGAAGCATAACAAAAAGGAAAAATCTAAACATTTAAATAGTTTTAAACAATATTTTACATATTCATAATATAATTTTTTCACAAAAGAAATTGAGTCTTCACAATTAAAAAAACATGTCATTTAGAAAAATGCTGTCATTTAGCAATGGGACTCTCACATGTGAATGATCAAATCTGATGCTTCCTGGCCAGCTGATTTGAGCATTAAAAAGTAAAAAGTTTTATCAAATATGACATCTAAAGAGCAGAAACATAAGCATGAGCAAGTGACCTTCACTCCAGGCTAAGTTTGTATAAAAAAAAAAACCAAGTAATTTATCCTAGTATATAAAACAGCATTAATAACAGCCTGCATTAACTTCAGACACGCACAATCCTCCGGCAGACTAAGCAAGCAGCTTTTTAAAGCTCATCCCATCATTTAAGACACTAAATAAATCCATAAAACACACAAAGGTGACTTTAAAGCAAACACTGAGCAGGGCACTGGCATTATCATCTTGCCACAATACCTGAAAAAACCTTTCAACATTGGCACCATGCCGCCTGCCGAGGCTTAGCTGTCACGGTCACACTCCCACACAGTCTTGTCCTTGCCTGGCCAAACAGCCATGCCAACCACACAGAAAGAATTGAACTTCATCCATTACTTAATCTGTGATGTTTTATACGTCCCTGAACTATGGCAGAAAGACATTACTCAAAACTGTCAGTAAAATTTACCAATGCACATGATGATGTTTTGTTTTCGTGATGCTTTGATATGGCTATAGATTTATTATGTCACTATACTAAGCCACTGTCTTCACAAAGTTAAATCTAGGGTTGTAAAATAATTATTTTTAAGTCATCATCAGCTAGAATGCTGAGTTGACCCAGAAAACAACACTCACCTATGATATCAACCCATCATCATACTCCACCATGTTTGCTTTAATGCTTTTTGTGTCCAAAAATGATTTAAGTTTTCTCTCTCTTTTTTTTTGGTACCTTTTGAACAGGTCTGCAACGTTGCTATCTAAGGGAGCTCTTTGATTTCATCTAAAATACCTTAATTTGTTTTACAAAGATGAACAAAGCTTTCAGGGGTTTGTAATGAAATGTGGGTGAGTAATTAAAGGTGCTTTATGTAAGCTTTTGACTCTAAGCAAAAAAAACTTTTTAGAAACATGCTAAGTGAACATTCTTATTCATCTGAAAAACAATGCTGAAGTCAGATATTCTGGTTTGAAAATGTGAGTTACGTGCCGGAATGCTGTGCTTAGTTTGGTTATTTTAACCTGCCCAATGCCACTTTAGCCAATCATATTTCAGCAGCCCAGATCGCCTTGTTATAAAATCCCGCATTTCATTCATTCATTCAGAACATGAGGTTATTAATTAGCAAATACCATAAATATTACGAATGTAAACATTAGGTGAGCAGGTTATATTGTAACTACGTGTCCCAACAACACACAAGATTTGCAGTGATAAGCAATCTGGCTGTTTGCAAGAGATGAAACACAACAGAAATTTAAATACAGCCATTCAGAAGCGTATAATAGTGCACTCACTTACAAAATGGTCAGGTTTTTAATCTTATAAATACAGTTTTTTTGTCAGTTTTTCCAGTTGTTCACTTGTGAGAAATAGATGCCATTTCTAATATATCAGATTGAGGCATTTGTTAGGACAAAAACACCTTTTAATGTGGAAAATATCCCTACTATCGCATGCCGTTGCTTTTATTTAGAACTTGACTTAAGTTAGCCTTTAGGCTTGAGACTCATAGATTGGTCAATCTGGCAACCTGCACTTGCTTGTTTTGATCCAGGAAGGCAATACCTATTTCAACTACTGGGCATCAAACTTACATACTGCACCTTTAATAACAGAATCGTCATTTTTGGGAGAACTAAAACATTAATGTAACTGTCAAGAAATAATTGCTTTACACCTGCATGGTTACAGTAGTAGATCATGTAGTATAGTGTTGTTTTACCCCTCAGCTAAACCATAGGCTCTCCACTTCATCACAATAGTAACCCTACACATTTCAGAAACCTCAATAAAGCTTAAAATTACATACATCTTTATGGTAATATTTCTCATTTTAGTACTACACAAAGCCAGAAATCTGCTTTTACTTATGCCGAGTTTAGACTGCATGATTTTAGCCCCGATATTGACTCGCCAACAGGTTTTAAAAAAAAAAAAAAAAAAAAAAAAAAAATAAAAAAAAATCGCAGACAAATGCCTAAAATCACAGGCTAATCGGTGCTCATTCACACGAGTAACAATATTCACAATGTGAACTATTAAAGACGCGTGTCAAGATGAGTCACCAATACCTGTGAGATATTTGGCATGTTAAATATCTGGAGCTTTAAGCGATTCAAATCATGCCGTGTGAAATGAGTTTTGACTGAAAATAACATCGCCAAACTCCTACAGCCAATGAGAGAGCAGCATCCACTAATGTGGGTACCTGCAGGCCAGCGGGAGAAGTTAAAAGCGCTAATTTTCGGTTTATTTAGACCCAAGAAATGGAGGAAAAACTAGTGTGAATTTGGCAGGAGTACCTGTATCTGTTAGAGGTATCATCGGAGCAATAAAACAACCGGGTCAAAATAGAAAGTTGAGGGAAAATTGCTAATTCCCTTTAAAGCCAGGTGAGCAAATATGTAAAGGTTCTACCCTATCAAAGGCTTCTTTCTCATTTTGTAGTTAAAAAAAAAAGATATACTATATGTTTTTGGTTGTGAAATGTAGTTTGAATGATATTGTCGCTGATTCTTCCTATTGTAAAGCCATGGAATGTGAAACTCCCTGTTGCGGATCCATCTTGCAGTGTAAACACAGCACCAACTAAACGTTACTCCAGATTATCATGCAGTGTCAAAGCATCTGTGACACGATTACTTTGAATATCATGCAGTCTGAACTCGGCATTAGTGTTCATTCACCTAAATTGAATAAAACACATGAAAGTTGTTTCTATTAATAAACTTTTTAAAGATCTGAATTAACACATTTCATTAAACTAATTTCAATGGAACTTGGAACAGTGTACCATATACGTTTACAAACAGCTATGAATGTATTTTACCTCTTGGCGGCCCTAAAGTCAATGTCCTAAAAGCGCAGATGGGCTGACGAGTATTCATTTGGGATTGAGCATCTCTCAGTATTAAGTTACTCTAAGTATCAGATGAAGCGCACTGCTGTAAAGGCTTTTTATAAAGCAAGCAGTTTTCGGCTGTATAGGCTGAACATTTTACAGGCAAGTGAACTTTAGTCACTTTCAGAAGACAGCCTAATTACGTTTCCAGGGCTATGGCTTAGAATGACTTATACAAATGTCATATTTGCTCAGCTGGTCCCTAATTGCAGTATGTATCGCCCTTCAGTTCTGAAAGCCTTTAGACATTGTGAGTCAAGCTTGGAAGAAGTACTGACAGGCATTTCAAAAGTGCATTGTGTCGCATAGGGATCGCAAGCTGCTTGAAATACAGCCAGCATTTCTTTATAGTGAATGTAGAGAATGTGAATAACGGGTTGCAATGATACAAACAGCATGAACAATTAAGAGGAAAAAAAAAGATTTCAAACAACTTCAATAAACTGGCAACAGCGCTGCAAAAATCTTGCAAACACGTTATTTTTGATGATTTTGCTGGCTGTTTTAGATGGGGGAAAATTCTGTTTAACCCAAGCTTAAGGTAAGAAATAAAGTTGCAAATTATAAATGACACTGTTTGCTGATATTGAGGATTTAATGCTATGCTGTAAATGTCTTATGAAGTGAAATGATCAATCTGCAAAACAAAGTTAGGTTGTTTAATTTGAGACAACAGAACTTTATTTCACTCATAAGTTGATGTGTTATGTATTCCCCAAAAGCTTACTGAAACACTAACCCTTGATAAAATGCTGCAAAACCACAAATTTATTTAACCCATGTAATATTATATTTCTTAAACAGCAGTTCAAGCTGCACCTTAACACAGTTTTGTTCAAAACTATAATTGTTATGAACTGTTGTAAAAATCTGTTCATGAAAATGTCAATGCAGATTTCAAGCAAACTTTATCAAATGTGAATGAAACCCATGGTCTACACAAATATGCTGATAACACACACATTGACTTACCGAAATAACCCATTGCTCAGTTTGCATACCAAGCATTAACTCAACAATGCAAGTAAACCAAGACTGGTTTAAACCATAACTAGCATTTAATTTGTTACAACAGCTGTCATGTTCATTAAACCATTAAAGACTAAATAAAAGTATTTCAGAAAAAAGCAGGAAACTTGCGTCATTTATTACCCTCTCAAGACTTTTGACTGTACTACTTCTACTGCTGCTGCTAGAGATGAGAGCACATTTTCACCATTCTTTGGGTCAAAAAAGCATCTGTGGCTGCATTATATTTTCTCCTCTCTTACTGCAAAATGTTTGCTCTTTCTGGATGCACTTAAAGCCACAGTAAGGAAGTGGTCCTCCTGTCGCACATCACACATGCACACTTTAGGAAACATGATGATGACTAAAATCAAATTATCATTTTATTCTTAAGCTATTTATTTTATACCTTTCTCCAAAATACAAAATGCATTTACATGACCATGTGCAGTCACCTTAATAAGAATGTGCATTTTAATGCAGTGTTTAATGATTTTTTATTTTTATTTTATTTAAAATGGCTCATTAAGATTATGTGGAACTTTGATTCAGAATGTGCACATACTGGTGGAGGCTATATTAACACATGCAAGTTTTAAATACTCCCGCAGACCCCCCATCAGGAGGTTGTTTTTGTGTTTTTTCCTTGTTTATTTTAATATATTTGACTGTTATTTAGAATGCATGGCTTTAAAGTTTCCATGCCAACATGCCAAATTTATAGCGCAACATAACGTAGCCCCAATGATTTATGCTTTTTCCATTTTTTGCAAATTTTGACAAATGTAATATTTATAATACAAAATATCTGATATTCTGAATCTCAAATGTGTAGAAAAACAGCTTAACAATCATATTATTTGATCTACAATGGGTGATGGGCACCACCAATTAGTGGAATGATTAGAGCTGCTTGATTTTAATTTAATTAGATCGACGTCTCACAAAATAGATGAAAGTACGTTTCTATTCAACTGGAGGAAGAGCAGAGTAAATTTGACCTAATCAGTGTGTGTCTGATGTGAATAAAGCACATTATCTGATTGTTTAAAAATAGTTATTATTGCTATTTCCAATGGCATGCATTTTGCAAACCAGAAATTTTACATTTTACATCGCACCTACAATATGTGCATTTAAATGTTAGAAACCTAAATTGATAAATTGTGATTTATGACCAGCACTGTGTACCTTCTCTGGCTCAGTGCCAGCCATCTCAGGAAAGCAGATTTTAATTTAGCAGCTGATTACAAGATTGCACTAAATGTTTGAATCACACTAGTGTGATTGTAAGTTTTAGGGACGAGCCAAGACTGATCACACCATTACAAACTGTAAAAAAAAGAACAAATGTTTTATTAAAATGAAAGAAAACAAGAGATGTTTACCTAATAACAAAGTCGTGCGAGTCAATCTCTCTGCCGCAGCTGCTGTTCAGTAGTATGCCAGAGTTCCCTACGATGGCACACTTTCTGTAATGCTGATTCTTCATGGGCGACACAGTTGGTAAAAGGTGGTACAGATTCTCTGAGATGTTTGTGGTGCTCTGACGGTCAAATATATAATGAATTACATCACCGGGTTTAAAGGTGCTCTTCAGAATTGAGATGTCCCTCTCAGCATCCAGGAATTTCAAAATGTTTTTCCTAAAGAAGAAAAATCATAACACACATTATAGATGTCAGAGAAAAAAAAACTAGAGCATAGACAGGGAGACATCTTTTATACTCTTCAGAAATGCCATACTGTGCATTTGAATAAATTTAAGCCATACCTGATGAGGTTAGACAAGGTTCTGTTGAAAGTCCATTCAGATGAGGATGAATTGCTGGTTTTGCGCTTTATGTCAGACGGTGAAGCTAGAGAGGAGACTTTGCTCTTTCTATATGTGACTAGAGAAGTAGGGGCAGCATTCAGATCTGAACTTCTGAAGAAAAGAAAGAAATACCAGTGTGTTCATATGCACTTAATGTACAGCACATCACTGTTAGAGATGTAGGCCTGAATACAAATCTGGAAATGTTCTGAAAAAAAAGAATCTACTCAAAATATTGGCTGTTATGTTTTGGCTGCTACCACGGACATTTTATTAAGTATAAAATATAAACCTAAAGGAATATATGCTAATTTACATAATATAACTTCATTAACATTAAAAGGTTACCCAGAGTTTGTGCTTTTTGCATATGAGTAACATGTTTGTAACATGTTTCGCCTGGGGAAAAACGTTATATTTTTTTAAATATTTTTTTTACGAAGTCAATATTATTAGCGCTCTAAAGATTTTTTTTTTCCACTATAGAACAAAGAACTGATGCCCAATTATTGGCTAATTAAACTAGCATGCCAATTAACCTGATTAAGCCATCAAATTGCACTTTAAGCTGAGCACAATTTTGCAAAATAACTAGTAAAATATTATTTATGGTCACCATGTAACTTCTCTCCATTAAATAGCATTTGGATTTTTTTTTAAACAACTAAATTCACAATAGGATTAATAACTTAGCCTTCAACTGTGTTTATTTTGGCTACTTTCAGGTAAAGAGAAAATATTTATTATTTGCATATTTTTAATATATTTTTAGAATAAAAAAATAATATAACATTCATTAAAACCTATGATAAACAAATGCATTCATTAAAATTAAAGACATGTTTAAAAACAAGAAAAAAACGACAAAAAATGCAAGTTTACTTTATTTTCTTTTTTTTAGGAACATTTTATTTTTGCACACTGTGTAGTCTAAAAGATAAACACTTTAACTAATGGAGCATTCATTTAATGTATGTGTTAACATGAACAAAGAACGAACAGTACATTTATTGTAGTCTCTATTCATCTTTGATAAAGTTAGTTAATGAAAATGACGTTCATTGTTAGCTTGTGTGAACTCAGAGCATTCACTAATGTTAACAAACAACAACTTTTGATTTGTATAATGCGTTAGTAAATGTTAAACTATGATTATCAAATACTGTACAGGATTGTTCATTCTTAATTCATGTTAGTAAAAATATTAACTAACATTATCTATTGGACACATTTTTTTAACTTCTACAGCCCAAACTCAAACACTTAGAAAACAGCTGTAGACATCAGTGACATTTTTCAGTACCATCACAAATGTATCACAAATGTTTTAAATTCGAATACAAACCTGTTGGACTGAAGGGCGACACTTTTTAAGTGGAATTTCCGTGAATCCTCAATGTTCCTATGAGCAGAAGGCATAAAATATTCATCATCATTATCCAGTAATATGACCATTAATAATGCTCTGAATTCACATCAGTGAGCAGATAATTGAAGTAGCGGCAATTAGACCACAGACAGGAAAAAAAAAAGCTATGAAATTGAATTATTATGATTATAATGTTTATTTAGGATTTCAGTGTGAGCCATTCCCCTTCTAAACACACTGCTTTGATAGTACATATCCAAGGTCATGCCAAGCATGCTTTATTAATCATTTCATGTATTCATTACTGCAATTACAGTATCACAGCCATTACTGTCAGAAAAATTAAGAACTGAGATTTGTTACCTTACAACTTACAAAGGATGTTCTTGAAATTTTCTGAAGTGATCACATACGTTTCATCAAAATATTCTGATTGTTGTGAATGCACTTTAAAGTACTCAAAGAAACAATAAAAGTATTAGAGGTTGTGTAAGAACTTAGTTCACCTATAAATGTTGAATTCCACAACATGTCTCCCTGCCATAGATGTCAATGGTGACTATTATCTGCACATATACCAGGCCTTTTCAAAATATCTTTGGTGTTCAACAGAAGAAAGAAAATTATCAGACTTTAAACAAGTAGAGGGTGAATAAATGATGACAATTTTCATTCTGGAATTAGGTGAATTGTCATCCAAGGTGTAGGTGATTTATTTTTCAGCAGAACATTACAGAAGATTAGCTGAAACCATGGTCACTGGTGTTTCTCATAATGTAATTCAAAATAATGTAAATAATGTGAGTCAAAAAATAATCAACGCCAAACTAATTGGCTGTATTAATTTATTTTTCCTTTATAAAAAGTTGCTTTCTAATGTGGCTAACTTGTATCATGTCAATCATCTTCACAAAACTATTTGGATGGCCCAAAGTGTAAGTAAATTAAGATTTTCGTTTTTTTTTTTTTAATAAAAGAGCTGTTCTTTTAAAACCTGCATGAGTCAACTCAACTCAACACCTATCAGCAAAGATAAAAGATAGCGGACACCCTGCCATTCATACGGCTTCAACCTGTTGGGTGCCTCTTCAAAGCAGTTAGGACAGGTTGGCAGTGTCTCCTTGAGCAAACCAGTCCAGTTTTTTTCCCCTACAACTCACTGCAATGTTTTCCATCTCTCCCCCAAAGTCATGGCTACGTGCATTATTAAGCAGACAGAGCACAGATCTGTTAAAATTCTGGGGAGCAGCTTCAAATGCAGATTTAATGGTGGTGTTGCTTCAAAGCGCTTGTAAAATGCACTGAGATACACCTCTTAGATCTTTTGTTTGATATTGCAATTTGCAAGATAATTCCATAAATTATAAGCCTCGCCAATAACTTAAGCAAAAATTAGATCACATGCGTCATGTAATGCCGTCTGACAGCTAGTAAATGAGGTGTGAAATTCCCAAATTGGGATTTTACAATTGCATTTAGTCTCTGGGATATTTTGGGTTAGCAAACAAGAGGGAGGGAAATATTCCCTTTCCATGGTTAATGGATAAAAAGTAATCAGTGCAGCGGAAACGCACAATATCGCAGTACAGACCAAACAAGCCAAATATTTTGCATTAAACATCAAATGTGCCAGCTCTAAGTGTGATCCGTTTAAAAAATTAACACTATATGCACATCTTGGCAAGTAAACACTTCTGTTTGAGTGCTGTTTTTTTCACACAATTATCCTTGATTAATCCATCTAAGGACAAATATTCTTCTCACTCAAGGGCTTTTAAAGTGTATGTCTCTAGATTTGTAATTATGTAAGCCTGAGGATTTCTGCTACAGGGTTCAGTTGTAGCTGAGGAAAGGCAAACTGCTCATTTTTTGTCTCCAGGCTGTAGCTTTAAAGTCGCAAATCAAACAGTAATCCCCTAGCTGCCATAAACCACAGATCAGACCGTCTTTTCACTTGCCGTGAATGGGTGCAAACGGTACACGCTCAAGAGTAGAACAAAACCACAGACCAACAGCCATCCTTCACGGAGCACCAGGGTCAGCTGCATTTATCCCATGCCTCTCATACGAGGTTTCACACTCAGCAAAAGTCTGAAGGACTCATTTTGGAGATCAGCCAAGAATAAATAACCAGAGACTGTATACGCATAAACAATATTCAGCAAAACTGGTTCCAACATGTATTATTGCTCTACTGGTAACTTCACCAGAATGAACAAAAGGCTTAATGGCTGTAAAGCACCACATTAAATTATTACAGCCTTCAAAACAAAGGTTCTTCTCTGGCATTGATGACTCCATTGAGGGTCATTAGCATCAACAGAATATTTCCATTGCACAAAAAGACTGTTTATAGTGAAAAATTCTTTTGGGAACTCAAAATTGTCCATCTGGGACTGCTCTTAAAAACTCTTTTTTTGGAAGCTTTGTTTTTAAGAATGGAAGAACTGTCTACAACATCAGACTGATGTTATATTAAGCCCTTGAGGTTTTCCCTCCAACTGAAGAACCTACTGGCTGTGGCTTTGCAAACAATAGTCCTCCTCAGGACAGCACATTGTCTCCTCCTTTGACTTAAGACAACGTTAAACTCTGTTTGATGAAAGGCCATGCCAAATCCTGTTGGAAAACACAATTTAAGATGTTCCAAATGGTTATTATCTGTTTCGAGATGGTCATTATCTAGTCCAAGGTGGTTATTAGGTTAGCTTAAAGTGGTAAATAGTCTCAGACTAGCAACAAATCAGTTCATTTGGGTGGTCAAGCAGGAATTTGGAATATAGGCAGACTGAACAGCTTCTTTAACCAAACCAGACCCTTATAAAATGAAGTGGTTAAATGCAAATAAATCCAAAAAATTAGAGTTCTGCTTTTAACCATAGGACAATAGTTTAACAATGGTATTTGGAGTAAAACTGTGGTTATAAAAAGGGTAATAAAATATGCCTGGTTTGAAAAAACAGATGGTCATTGCACTTTTACTTTAAGAAAAGCATGGATTGTGAAATGTTCGTAAGGGGCAAAAATAATGAAAACGCAGCTCCAGTTTAAGATTATTTCCCGACATGAAAAACCACAAAATAAACAGGCAAATAAAACACACAGCTCTGTGCGTTTTCGGATACATTCGTTATTTTCATACAAGCTCGTGTATTATGCAGCCTGTCTGGTCCTTAATGGACTGTCCATTGTTTGGGCTTCTACAAAGTCTCTCCAGAGAGAATCAAGGCAAATAGGACAAGAGTCTTAAACAGAAACATCACATAAACATATAAAGACTCATTTTATATGCACTGAAACAGGACATAAAAACAAAATAACAGTCCATATTGATCTCTATTGTTTACTGTAGCTTAATCGAATTTACTTACGCGATTTCTTCCTCCACTTCCGATATATCAGCTATAATCACAAATATAACCAGCGCTGTCCCGATTCCAAACATCAGTATTCGGAATTCAAAAGACATGACTTGACCGATGCGCGATTCTACAAATGCGTTGAACTATAAAGCGCAATAGAAATGTGTTCTCCTCTTTCACGCTGGTTCCTAACGCAGGGCAACACATGTAATGCTCCTCCGGCTCCTCGACAAAGCTGGACCATGTCCGTGCAGGTTAACGAACAGTTGTCTGCATTATTATCGCGTCTGTCCGCTTCTTCCACCTTCACCAAAGTAGTAGAGAGGTGAGACAAACGTGCACGTCCTTTCTTCTCTTCTACTCCTCCTGCCGCTACTACATAGATTGCAAGCCAGGCAGTTCCCTTGAAACTTTGCCTGCAAGGTGCATAAACTCATATATGAAAAGCAAACTGCGTTATTGGTATACACAGACACAAGGCGTGGGTTTGAAATTGAAGATGTGGGCTATCCTCTCTCCGCCTTGGTCTCTTTGTTGCTGTTTGACAAAGACGCACACGTTTGGTTTTTTACGGTTGAGGACTTTCTATTGTTTTAACACTGAAGCATAATGTTTGAAATGAAACCTAACATTATTTTTCTTCAAACATGTAATCCCAAATCCAGGTGCGAGCGATGCGACAGAGTTACAGCGACAAGTCAACTGTCTGTCCGAAATGAACCCGAAACAGCTGCACGACGCGACATAATCAATCACAAATCGCAGCCAATCACAACAGGGCACTCTGTTGGTCCGCTCTCTCACAGTGCATACAATGTCAAACATCCTTGTCATTTTCTTAGGACTTTGAACAGAAAACTTCTTCTTGTAACTTTATCTGTTTGTCATAGTATTTAACACTCTATCACAACCTAGCCTATATCATGCTCACGTCATTTGCTTTAATTAACCATGAAATCAATATTGACAATTCTTGTTTTTATGAGACATCAGTATTTATTATGAATTATTATCTGTCTGCCTGCCTGCTTGTCTATCTATCTATCTATCTATCTATCTATCTATCTATCTATCTATCTATCTATCTATCTATCTGTCTGTCTGTCTGTCTGTCTGTCTGTCTGTCTGTCTGTCTGTCTGTCTGTCTGTCTGTCTGTCTGTCTGTCTGTCTGTCTGTCTGTCTGTCTGTCTATCTATCTATCTATCTATCTATCTATCTATCTATCTATCTATCTATCGTTCCCAGTATGGAAACCTTATATAGAAATAAAATATCTAATTTGTTTCAATGTGAACGTTTTGCTATCCTGTTATTTTTTTAATCCAGTCATTTGAACTTTATATTGGTCACAGGGGTTTATCTCACTGATCAATAAAAAGCAGCTTTAATTGCAAAGTACCCTCTGTGACAAATGCTACATATTGAAAACAGACATTTTAACCAGCAATTTCTTTCAAAATGTAGTAAGTGTAACTGCACCTTAACCATTTTTTTTACAGCTAAAATAAATGAAATGAACTAAGAACATAGAGCTTCAAAATGAAGAATGCATAGAAAGTAAAAATACAAAGAACAGTATGTTGGTACAGTCCTACGCATCACAGTTATGGCCACAGCTGGTTAGAAAACTAATTTAATTGCTGGAGGTCAAAATGTCAGTGCTAATAGGGTTTTGCTTACATTGTGAGGACATTTGGTCATTTGACTCCCATTACAAATGCACAGACTCAGACAAAAGCACCTGCTGCTTTAGCTGACAGCCTTTTCATCTCTGTTTTTTTCATCTGTGATTTAACTTTTTTGTTAGCTGGATATTTCAGTGATATACAACTGTAATACAATTAGGCAGCATAATTATTTTAAGGCTGGTTATCATAATCTCTTTTCAGTTTTAGACTTCTATGTTATGAGAGGTATTCAAATTTTCTGTCTTGTTTTAAAGTGCACACAGCAGATGTAAGTGGAGAAAAACAATAAATATACTTACAAAGAAAATGCATGACAGTTTTCACTGTCTTCCAGGCTCAAGAAAACACTGGAACAATCCTGCCACATCATTTCTAAACCCACAAATGAAGAAGCTTCTCACCCTGTGAAAGCTGTACTGCTTAAATCACAGTTTTCTGTCAGGTCCAACACCCTCGCTGCTTATGAAAATATGCTACTTGTGCAGACAAATCTAAGTTTGTGTTAGGAAATACCGATATAAACAGTAAAGTGGGACACTGTGATTTGATTCCATGTATTATATTTTTATGATTCAAATGTGCATCATACATCAGTGTCTCTTGCATATTTTGAAGGAACTGTAATATATATCTATATGGCCTACTTTACCTGAATTTAGCCTGCTGATTGATAGATTTAGACAGACAGACAGACAGACTATAGATGGATGGACAGACTACAGATAGATTAATAGACAGACATAAGGTTGGATAGATAGATAGATAGATAGATAGATAGATAGATAGATAGATAGATAGATAGATAGATAGATAGATAGATAGATAGATAGATAGATAGATAGATAGATAGACAGACAGACAGACAGACAGACAGACGGACGGACGGACGGACGGACGGACGGACGGATAGAAGGATGGAAGGACAGACAGACAGACAGACAGACAGATAGATAGATAGATAGATAGATAGATAGATAGATAGATAGATAGATAGATAGATAGATAGATAGATAGATAGATAGATAGACAGACAGGCAAAATAGAGAAATATAGAGATATAGGTAGACAAAATTGATAGATATAGATAGACACAGACAGACATAGATATAGGCAGGCAGGCAGGCAGGCAGGCAGGCAGATAGACAGACAGACAGACAGACAGACAGACAGACAGACAGACAGACAGACAGACAGACAGACAGACTGATAGATAGATAGATAGATAGATGGATGGATGGATGGATGGATGGATGGATGGATGGATGGATGGATGGATGGATGGATGGATGGATGGATGGATGGATGGATAGATAGATAGATAGATAGATAGATAGATAGATAGGCAAAAATAGAGAGATATAGATATATAGGCAGACAAAATAGATAGATATAGATAGACAGACATGCAAGCAGACAGATAGATAGATGTAATATATTTAGATGGACAGACACAGACAGTCAGATAGACAGACAGACTATAGATAGATTAATTGATTGATTAACAAATATATAAATTAGACAGACAGGCAAGACAGTCAGATAGATAAACAGACAGAATAGATATAGATAGACAGACTCATATGGATGAAAGGACGGACGGACAGACAGACGAGCAGACAGACAGACAGCTAGATGGATGGATGGAAGGACAGGCAGACAGACAGGCGGGCGGGTAGATAGATACAGTAGATATATAGATTTGAATACTGGCAAGTGGCAAATCAAAGGATAAAAGAACAGCAAAAACAATCACAGAGAGTTTTGTGTGCCCCACAGTGAATTTTTGGAGAAAAACAGCATGAATCTAACTGGAATCATCCTGATACATGTGAGTGAGTGTGTGTGCTGCCAGTGTTGGCCTAGAAATGGTGATGTCCATGGAGAAATAGTAAGGGAAGGAAAAAGGGGGTCATCATTCTGCCATATTTTTCATTTGTCCTCATAATTGCTTTATAGTGAGCCTGCACGCATGATGGGTGGTAAAAGCTCCTTGATTAACATTTAGTTTAGTTTATGAGTGGATTTAACACCTGCCATCACTTAGTGAAAGTGCTGGTGAAGAGCAAGAAGTCAAAGTGCTATTTAACAGGTCATACGTCAAATGCCGTTGAACCATCTTAAAAGGTAACTTTTTCAAATTGTTTGCAGGTCTTTTTTCATCTCGGCGACTTGGACCAGACTGCAGAGGCTGTCAGAGAGTCTGCAAATAAATGAGCAACATTTCATGTCAGTGAGTCACAGTGCTTCTTGAATGCATTGAGCCAATATAATTCATCTGCTGCAACATTAAGGTGGAAAATAGTAGTGACCATATTTCCATCAGCTCAGTGTGCCACTGCGCCGGACAAAGCTTAGCTCCGCATGTGCAATGTGTATATCTAGTTATCCAATGGAAAATGACCATGCTCCATATCCAATCTGCTTCTAAGGATTTCATGAAGGCAAGTAATGGGTTTTTGTAATGCTTTTAAATAATCTCCTTCTGCCTCCAACTGCTCAATCCTCTGCCACGGGGGAAGAAAAATACTTTTGCAATTTAATTTAGTATGCAAGATGCCATTTTGAAACAATCCAAGGAATAAGTGAACAATGCTTTGATGGAAATCTGACACTTTTCCCATTTTCTGCACACAAATTATTATTATTTTTTCAATAATAATCTCATCAGAATTTCTGCATCATTTTGACTGAACAAAAGCAAGTGCAAAAATGCTGTTATATACATATACTATAATGATTATAGAAAAATAGCATCTGACAACACATCCTTTGAAATGCTGACATGCAGGTCAAACTAGGCTTTAGTATACATTTTACAATTACAACATTTTCTAATAAGTGGCAAGATTTAAAGTAAGAATCGCAAGAGATAAAGTCAGAATTGTGAGATAAATAGTTTATTTTATTAACAACGATAACTGAAATGGTATTCTGTAGGTAAACAAATCTGAAATATAAAAATCCGAGCTAAAAACTTCTGCTTGGGGGGAGAATTTTAATTGCAAGATAAAAGGTTAAAAGATTCTGGCTGCAAACTGGGTGCAGATGCAAGCTGAGCTGCATGCATTGCTTTTAATGCTCATGCCTAACCCTGCCCTTAAACCTACTCCTCACAGTGACATCACTAGCTCCATTGAGTGCATTGTGTCTGACATTGCATGTCAATAACCTAATTGTTTTGCTGTAGTGTATTCAGAATTGTGAGACAGCCTGGACTCACAACTGCAAAAATAAAAACACAATTTAGAGAAAAATCAAAAATGCAAATTGTAGACAAAACTCTGAAAAAAGTTTTCAAACATCACACAGTAAACTAGGAATTGTGAGATATAAAAATCTAGAAAAAGATGACCCTGGAAAAAGAATTGATATTGTGTACGACTTCCATGAGCTTGGAGGACTGCATCCATACATCTCTGCAATGGCTCAAATACCTTATTAATAAAGTCATCTGGAAAGACAAAGAAAGCATTCTTACAGGACTCCCAGAGATCATCAAGGTTCTTTGAATTCGTCTTCAATGACTTCTTCTTCATTGTACCCCAGACATGCTCAATAATGTTCATATCTAGTGACTGGGCTGGGCAATCCTGGAGCACCTTGACCTTCTTTGCTTTTAAGAACTTTGATGTGGAAGCTGAAGTACAGTATGAGAAGGACTGTGATCCAAATGTAATGGGTAGCACATATCAATTACTGTAATTGGGTTTCTCCGAATCACACTTTCGCACATTTGTGAAATGGTCTTATAAATAAACAAATTTAGTACAATTTCTGCTCAACATTTTATAAACGAGGCCCCAGATAGTTTATTCATTTCTCTCAGCTTACCAAAAGGGCAGCATAAATGTCTTGATACCTCAGGCTGTTGATGTTGCCATCCACTCTGCAGATCTCTCGCATACCCCTATACTGAATTTAACCCCAAACCATGATTTTTTCTTCACCAAACTTGACTGATTTCTTTTTGAATCTTAGGTCCATACGGGTTTCAATAGATCTTTTGCAGTATTTGTGATAATTGGGA